TTAGAAAAATAGATTTCTGAGCTGCTCAGCGGCTACCGGCCTGGCCCCCGCCAGCCCCAGGAGGTGGGGAGGCCTTAACCCGGCCAGGGCCAGCTCTGGCCACTTCTCCCCGGCCCAGCCCCCCTGGGGCCCCTCCCCAGCCAGGCGCCCCGCCCACACCAGCTCCCTCCTGCCCCTCACCCCGGCCTGGGTCGGAGCCCAGCAGAAGCTTGAGCTCTCATCTCCCCCTCGGCAGCTCCCTGCCACCGCTTTCCTGCAACTACAGACGGCCCTGTTCTCCTTTCTTTGCTCATCTGGGAGCAATTACACTTTCCAAACCTAAAGTCAGGATTTGAGGTCTGGGGTCTGCGCGAACCAAGGAGTAAAGAGGCCAGAACGTCTGGACCGGGGTGTTACAGCACATCCCAGGAGACAGCCTCCCAACAGCGCATGATTATGGTGTTGCCCTCTTTGCTCAGCCTGCCAGGAAGCTCAGAGCGAAAATTAAGGCTCTCGTACAGCAGCTAGTGTTGGCCAACGGATTTTGGAATACTATCACTTCTCCATGTTCTTTAGAATTCCATTTCTGTTGTAATGAGCAAATCAACTGTGCTTTTTATTTTAATCCTCCTCAAATTTTCTGAGTACAAATTTAAAAAGCGGAGATTACCCCCGACCCATAGCAGCTGTGGCCTCTCTCAAATCTGTTTTTCTTTCTTTGGGGGAAGGAGGTCAGCTCAGCCCAGCTGGACTATGGAGAGGTACCTCCTGCTCCATCCTGTGGTCCCTGGGGCCCACCTCATGTGTGCCCTGCTGGCAGGCAGGGGTAGCAGTAGTTTCCGAGAAGGTGGAGATGTGTGTTGGGAGATGGAGAGCTCCCAGGGGGAGGTCAAGCAGTGCCCCGGGGGGGGTCCCCTGGGCCTCCCAGAGAAGGTGAACTAGGCCGAGACGTGAAGCTCCCTTGGGGCCTCAGTTTCCCCCATCAAAGTACTCAGCCCAGTGGCAGGGCAGAGAGAAGCTTCCAGCAGCAGCTGCATCTCTAGGCCAGGCACTCGGTCCCAGGGGTAGCCGAGCAGGAGGCTCTGACCAGGGGCTCTCCACGCCCTGGCTTCCAGGCCCAGCGCCGGCCTCAATGGGCATCTAGTGGGTGCTGCGGAAGCCACGGCCTACCAGGAGCGCTGTGGATAGCAGGCAGGATGTGAATTCAAGTCCGCGCTAGGCAGGGCGAGGTGAGGAGTGGCTGCAGGGCCCGCGGCTCACAACCTGCCTTATACCCAGGGCACTCTGCAGCCTGGCCCCCCTCCCACAGCATCCCTCCCTGCTCGCACCTGCACAGGCCCCAGCAAGCCGGGCTGCCTGGCTCTGACTCACTGACCAGGCTGGGCTGGGCCAGGCTGCCCACCAGCCCCCGACTCTCGCCCGAGGCCTCCTACACTCACCTTCACTGGGGACCTCCATGGCTGTGGGCCTTGGGAGAAGGGTGGCTGTGCGGGGGGAAGGGGCAGGGAGGCAGGCAGGGAAGCCTGAAGGGAGTGGAGCCACCCTAGGACCCCTACAACCCCACACTGACCCTCTGCAGGCTCTCCATGCCCACTGCACCTGCTCCCTGCCTGAGGCGCCCCAAGGGGGCCTCCCTCATGGGGTCCAGGAGGAATGGGTCTCAGGGCAAATGCTCCATCAGGAGAGCCGTGGTGACACAGTGGCGACTAATGGCTAATTTTTAGAAAGTGTCACTGAGATGTTGGGAAACGCAGCCCAGATGGCGACATGAGTAACAGGCTTAGTGTCAAGGCAAGCCCCTGCGAACGGTTGACTTGGAAAGAACAGTTGTGAACAATACAATTATTTTTTCAATGATAATAAAAGAGGCCTTCAAGCAATGTCCTCCCCTGGTGGCGACGGTGGGGTGAACTGACCCATTCCTTTGGTGCTGGCAACGGGCGGTGCTGGGGCCTTTTGGAAGCAATTTGGCAGAATCTGCGGAGAGACACAAGGACGTCCTGTTCTTGGACCTGAATGCCACCAGACATTCAGGAGAGGTCCGCGGAGAGGCCATAAGGAGGAGACCCCTTCAGACTGCATGCCACTGAAGGAACCAGCTACCGCAAGGTGTGTAGACAGCAGAATAAGAGATCCACATCCTGACCCCCCGGAACTGGGAATGTGACCTCACTCTTTGTGGTGTCAGTAAATTAAGCTCTTGGGATGATCTTGGATTAGCTGGGTGGGTCCTACATCCAATGGCAAGTGTTCCTCTAAGGGATGGAAGAGGAAAAGGCTGTGTGACCATGGACGCAGAGCGGGGAGCAGTGACTCCGCCACGAGCCCAGGAGCACCTGGAGCCTCAGAGGCAGGAAGAGGCAGGAAGGACCCTCCCCTGGAGCCTCAGAGGGAGCAGGGCTCTGCCCACACCTTGATTTCCGACTTCTGGCCTCCGGGACCGTGAGATACTACATTTCAGCCAACCGGTTTGTGATCATTTGTTACAGCAGCCTTCAGAAAGGAATACGGAGCATGAAGCACCCAGGGGTCAACCCAAGCCTGGCGTTGGAGGAAGAGGGGGACACGCTCCCGCAGGCCTGAGGAAGAGGGAGCTGGGCGGAGGTGCGAGGGCCCCTCCCCCCAGCAACCTCGCCTCTTGCTAGTGCTGCCCAGTGGCCAAATTCACACCGGGGCTGGACAGGAGAGTGCCCCTGATGCCGAGTAGGGTCAGGCTTGTTGGGACAGATAGAAGCATGTAGAGGCCACCAACACGGACCTACAATCCCCGTGGGCACTTCGGCCAAGGGAACAGCCCTGGGAGGCAAAAAGCAAGAACGGTTACTCACAGGATGGAGGGATGCCCACCTCTCAGAGACCAGGGGATGCAGGACGTTTTTCTCAGGGGCCCACGGGGGAACTGTGGGCCCCCTCCTGGGGGAGGACCTGCAGGGGACAAAACACTCGTTTCCCAGGCCTCGGAAGGGCCCTCTGAGAAGCGTCAGGCGCCAGGGACCGGTCCTACCCCCTGTCCCACTCCAAGCTGACTCCTGCCCCGCCTGCCGGTTCCGTCCACAAAGCAACCCGGAGGAAAACCCAGTGCAGTCCACACAGACGAACAGGGCCCACGGGGCCAACAACCCACACCCATCCTTGTATGTTAAGCAACTGATTCATTAAGTGACTGGTTAGGGGCGCCCAGGTGGCTCAGTCGGTTGAGTGTCCGACTCTTGGTTTCAGTTCAGGTCATGGTCTCAGGGTCGTGGGGCTCCGCGCTCAGCATGGAGTCGGCTGGAGAGTCCCTCTCCCTCTGCCCCTCCTCTGCTCATGCACATTCTCTCTCTCATATATATAGGATAAATAAATCTTTCAAAAAAAGTAACCGATTACTTAAGGAACTGGCTAATAGATTAGAGCTGTGCCTGCTGCTGTGGCCCCTGGGGTGATATCCCGGGAGGGGACCCAGGTGGGGGCAACCTGGGCTGTGCACTGGAGGGGTTAGGGGTTGGACAGCTCCGCTGAGGTTCAGGGGCCCAGGGCCGGCACAGGGGCGAGGGATTAACTAGAGCAAGCAATGAGAGCCGCAGGCAGCGCAAATGATGATCTGTCAGGTAGGCCCACAGGGGTCGCATGACGGCCCTTCTAGGGCCCTGAAGTCTGGCCTCAGAGGCTGGGTTGTCTCCAGGTTGGCGTCTTTATTTATTTATTTATTTTAAGATTTTATTTATTTATTTATTAAGATTTTATTTATTTTTTGACAGAGAGAGACAGCGAGAGAGGGAACACAAGCAGGGGGAGCGGGAGAGGGCGAAGCTGGCTCCCCGCTGAGCTGGGAGCCCGATGCGGGGCTCCATCCCAGGACCCTGGGATCATGACCTGAGCCGAAGGGAGACACTTAACCTACTGAGCCACCCAGGCGCCCCCAGGTTGGCGTCTTTAAAACACAGGCTGCCCCTGGAGCTGTGGGGGTGGTGCCAGCGCCCAGTCACAGAGGGGCTTTCATTGCCCATTTTCCTGATGAGCATACAGAGTCCCAGAAGGGAGGTGGTCCAGAGGCACTTGGGTGGGGCAGGCCAGAGCCATGCCTAAGTGTCTCCCCTCCCCTCTCTGGTGCCCCTCTGGGTTTGCCTGAAAGTAGAAGTGCCGTCTTCCTCGTGAAGGGGGTCACAGGAGGCGTAGTCACATGGGGTCTTCTCCAGCTCAGATCTGTCCCACCCAGCAGTGCCCCAGGACCTGTCACAACTCCACCAGCTCAAGCTCTGCCATCAGCTACCCTCATCCTTCCCCAGAGCCCGAGGGTTGGTGTCCCCTCTCTGAGGCCCCCACCCCTGCTCTCCATTGTGGTGCCTGGCCAGCACCCAATCTCCAAACTTGTCTCCTCCTGGAGGATTGCCAGTAACTCGGGCAGCTTAGCTACAATGGGATGCAGTTCGCTGTATTTCAGCCGCAGGCAGACAGGCAGAGACGCCCCTCACTGCCGGGCCTTTGCACACACAGTGCCCCCCGCCTTGATGCGCTCCTGGGCTTGTCCACCTGAGGACTGGCTGCTCACACCTGAGTTCAGCTTGGGCAGCTCCTTCTCCGTGAAACCTCTCTGACAGGCTTCACCCACCGAGACGCTCCCCTTCTACGTCCCCGCGTTCCGTGGCTTGAGGCCCTGATCGGAGGTCGGATGGCACCTGGGACTGCGAGGCCCGCAACTAGAGGTCCGCGCTCGGCCCCTCTGCGCGCCCGCCGGGCCCAGCGGGGCGACTGGGGGCCTCGCGCGTACGGCCCCGGCTCCCACGCCCTCCGAGACCGCCCGGCGCCCCCGCCCGGCCTCGCCCCCTCTAATCCCCTCCGCGGGCAGGGGCCAGGCGAGCCGCGGCCCCGCCTCCGGGCCGCCCCAGGGGAGGGGCGTGTCCCGCGCCCGGCGAGTCGGGGCGGGCGTGGCCGGGCCGGGGCGGGGCCGGGGGCGTGGCGGCAGCGGGCCAGCCCCCACTGGCTGCCGCGCGCCGGGCCGCCCGGGCTCAGTGCGCGCTGGCGGCGGCGGCGGTGGTGCGGACAGCTGGCGCCGCGCAGTCGTGCTCCGCCGGGCGCACGGACGCACCGGCGAGCCGACGCTGGAGGCACGGGGCGCAGGCGCTGGGCCGGCGGGCAAAGAGCCGGAGCAAGAGCCGCGCGCGGGGAGTGGGCGCCAGCGGCCGCCAGGTCTGTGCGCGGGCGCGGAGGGGTCGAGGCGGGCGCGCGGCGAGGCCAGAGCGCGCGGCGGGCTCACGTCCCGAGCGGTCTCTGCGGCGGGGCCCGGCCGGGGCGCAGGCTTCCCGCTCTGGAAAGTTTGCCGCCGCCGCCGCCGCCCTGGGAGGGCTCTGCAGAACTAAGGGAGGGAAGGGGGAGGAAGGGAGGGACCGCGGCGGGGAGGAGGCGGCCGGCGCCAGGCGGCCCGGGAGCCCAGGGCGGCGGCGGCGGGCGGGGCGGCCGGGGATCGTTGGAGCCGGGGCGCAGGAGCCCAGCCACCGCGGCTTCCGCCCCTGCGCGGCCCGGCTCCTCCGGGGTAACGAACTGCCCGCCTCCTCCCGCAGTCTCCCGAGTGGCGCCCTCCTCCCGCCGGTGCCAGAGCGGGGCCATGGGGGGCAGCATGCCCGCGCGCGCCGCCTGAGGACGTCGTCGCCCTAGCCCCCGCTATGGGCGCCCCGGCTCGCGCCCTCGCGTTCTGCGTGGCGCTGGCGGTCGTGACCGGCGCCGCCTCGGGGCCCCCAGGCATGGAGCAGCGCGTCGTGCGGAGAGCGGCAGGTAAGGAAGCACCCGACGGGTACCGGAGAGGGGCGTCGGGGCCCAGGAACCGGCTTCTTGGGTGGGTGGGTGGGTGGGCGCCGCATCTGAGTGGGCCCGAGGGCGCGCCCCGGGCTGGCCCTGCGGAACCAGAGCCCGGGTTTCTGCCGCCCTCCCTCCCCGGGAATCTCGGCCAGAAGTTTGTGGGGCTCCTGGAGCCTCAGGGCTACCACCCAAGTGCGAGGCCACGGCGGGGAGCTGGACGCGCCCGCGGCGTCCGTAGCCACTGCCCCCCGCGGTTCCCTAGTGGGGCGCAGCCTGACCCCGGGCAGCATCGGGAGAGCGCGGGGGCTGCGTTTCCCATTCCCATTGTTCTGCGGGTCCTCACTGACGGAAAGTTCCTATTGTTGGTGCCGCAGTCCCAACCCGCCTCCGTCCCGGCTCATGGCTTCGGCCCAAAGCGAAAGACCGCACTTTGGAGGGAGGGTGTGAGAGAGTGCGTCAGCCTGCCACCCGGGCCCTGCCCCCCAGTGGCCTGCGCGACGACGCAACACCGTCTAGTGCTTCCGCTCCCCAGCCCGGTGGGTGAAGGTGTCTGCTCCCCCAGGGTGCGCGCCAGACGCCAGGCTGGGCGCCGCGAGGTGAGAGGGCGGGTGTCTGAGGGACGTGGAGCCGTGGACCCCAGCTGGCAGTCAAGGTCGGGTGGGCGTCGAGGGTCCGCGAGGGGCCCGCGGGCCGAGCTCCGGGGAGGGGCGGGAGCGCGTCGGTGCGGCAGGCCCCGCCCCGCACACGCGCCGGGGCCCTCGAGGTGCAGCGTGCGCGGCCCCCTGCCGAGCCCGCCGTGCGCTCCGGGTGGTGCCGCCCCGCACACGCGCCGCCAAGCTCCCGGCTGTGCCCCGAGGAGAGAGCCGGCCCCGGGAGACAGCCGGCCCCGAGGAGAGAACCGGCCCGGGGTGGGGGTGCAGCTGGCCGGGGAGAGAACCGGCTCCAGGGGACAGACGGCCCGTAGGAGAGAGCCGGCCCCGGGGACAGACGGCCCGGGGGATAGTTGGCCCCGGGGGGACAGCCGGCCCCGAGGAGAGCGCCGGCCCGGGGGACAGCCGGGCGCGGGGGCCGTGCGCACCCCCGCTCCATCCCGGCGGCCTCGCGGAGGGAGGCCTTCGCCCGGTGAGCTCACGCCCCACCCGGGCGGGACCCGAACAGCCGCTCCTTTGTACCCGGCACGGCCACAGACCGCGCATTGATGGCGGCCGCGGCGGCCTCGCAGGGAGGTGTGAGCTGAGCGGCGGCGGGCGCACCGTGCCAGGGAGGCGGTGGCCGCGGGCAGGACGGAGGCAGATGGCGGCCCGCCCCTCCCCGCGCCCCCGCGCCCCTTTCTGCGGCGGCGGCTGCAGCGTCCCGGAACAATGTCATTTTTTTATGAATGAAGTGGGCCCGGCGCTTGAATGTGTGTGTCATTCAGCGGCGTGACAGAGGCCGTCGCGAGGTCAGCGCGCGCTTTTAGCGCCTGTTCAGGCGGCCCCAGCTTCCAGGGGCGCCGAATAGGCGGTCGCGGGGGGAGCCCCGAATTAGCATTCGCATTCAGATAGAGATATTACTCGCTACGGCCGAGGAATGTCAACTAGCCCCGAGGAGGGCGCGGCGGGCGGGGCTCCGGGCCCCCTGCGGACCCCCTGCGGCGTGCGGGGGCGGGCATGATGGGGGGCTCCGTCCTCCCTCTGGGAACGCGCCGCACCGGTGAGGCCGGTCCCGGGGCTCAGGCCTGGGGCACAGCAGCAGGAGGGACCCCAGGGCGCAGAGCCTCTTTCCCCCACCAGGGCATAGCTGCCCCCTTCCCCCCGCCCCGAAGTAGAGGGGCTGAGACAGGTAGTGAGTTGCTAGGTCAGTGAGCTTTTAATCCGGTTCGCTAAGGAGATGGACCAGGCCGTAAAAATTCAAAGGCCTCGTGAAATTTAGAATTTCCAGCTGACACTTTCTCAGGAAACATAAATTAAAAAGCCAGACTTGGCTGGGGTCGGGGTGGGGAAGGTCCGGGCCACTGGACTGACCTGGGCAGCCTTCATCTGCACATGGGGCCAGTGTTCTCTGTGAGGGGCCTTGAGCGGGGGTACTCCCCTGCTGCCTGACCCCACCCAGCCAAGAGGGGTCCCCTGGGAGTGCAGGGCATTTCCCAGAAAAGCACTGGTTGCAACCTCCCCCACCTCCTGCTCATCAGGGTTGGACTTTGAGCCCCACAGGCCTCTGGGTGGTTCATTAACCTGGGTGAGCCAGAGGCTGGACTTCTGACCTCTACCCCTGCACTGAGCTGAGAAGCACCCCTGCCCCCAGGGCCTCAGGTCCTCCTTGGGGCTGCTCTGGGGCCTGGCTGTGCCCCATTTCATAACTGGAACTAAAAGGGAACAGGAGCCCCAGCAGACTTGGGCTGGAGGGGCAGCCTGGCAGGTCTGAGTGACTTACAAGTGAGTAAGCAATGAGGGGGGATCTCTTCTCGATGGGAGGGGAGCTCCCTGACCCTACATCCTGCTGGGGGCTCTGGGTACCCTCCTCAAGCCCCAGTCACCTTACTTTTTTGTGAGGACAGGTAATGGCAGGGTTCTGGAAAGGTCAGGCTGGGTCATCCCATAAGCCCACATTCACTTGCCTGATCTCCAGCCCCCCCTCCTTTTTTCTAACTTTGTTAATGAAACTTTTCAGATAGTTTCCAGGTGGGAAGGGGGTAGGTCACATCTTCTGCCTCGGCTTCGGGTCCCTTTGAGAAAACCCATGTCTCTTGGGCTGTTTGGAAGCATGTACGACCCATACTCTGGAGGGCAGTGAAAGCTTCATCAGACATCCGGAACCAGACCCTTTGTTCTTCATCCTACCCCAAACCCCAGATCCCTTGGGGGCAGCCGGTCCAATGGTTCCTTTGAATCAGGTCTGAATTTGATGCTTGTTCTTTGGGGTCGCCCCCAAGGCCCTTCTGAGGAAGTGTTGTCCAGCCCCTGTGCACTGGGGGGCCCTCAACTGTAGTGACCTGAATCTAGGAGTGTGTCCTGCCCGTCAGGGGTCAGGGCCCGGGCGGCAGCCCTCCCGAGCAAGCTAGCTCTGGCCATGGCCTGGTGACATCAAAGGTGACGGTTTGGGTCTCTCACCCTTGCTCTCCCGGGACCCAGCGCTTTCACGGCTGGGGTGGCCTCCCTGGCCTTCCAGTGGGATTTTTGCCCTGTGTCCCAGTGGGGAATTGAGGCACGAGGCCAGTGAGTAGCAGAGTCAGGGGGACCCTGTGACTGGGAGACAGGCCCGCAAGCCCAGCTGGGCCTTTTCAGGACATAGTACCCCTTGGGTGGTCCCACGGGCTGCCCTTGGCCTAGGGCCCCCGAATGAGCTCCGCCCCCTGTTGGGGTGGGGGTGCGGGTGGGGGCGGGCATTCCACCTGTGCCCACTCCCCTCAGGCACGGGGGCACCTGCCGTGGCACACAGGACGGCCTCTAGCATGTGTGGACCCCAGCACTTGTGTGGGTGTGGGTAGGGCTCCCTTTTGTTGATCAGGGAAGACTCCCCCCTAGAGCTGCTGGGGGTGGGGGCTGAACAGCATGTGCCCCTGCCGCTCCCCAGGTAGAGCCAGATGGTGGCTGGGTTAGCGCCCACCCATGCCCATCACTTTGGGCCCTGCCCATCCTTCTTTGTCCTCCTGCTGACCCCATCCCCTTGGCCACTGCTGGCTCACCCCCAGGGTCCTCCGTGGCTCAGGGTGGGCCTGGTGTGTCAGCTCTACTGGAGGCAGAGACTCTGCTGCCCTGGCCCGGGGGTCCCTGGCTTCGGCCCCTGGGCAGGTCAAGGGCTGGGCCTCAGCTGAGTGCAGGGTCCATCCAGCAGCAGATGGCTGGCCTGGGGGCTGCTCTGTGTCTCCTCAGTCCCATGCTGGACAAGGTTGAAGTGAATACTGTGTGGATGGTTGACCGGCCGAGCCTGCCCAGACCAAACCGGAACCAACCACTGTTGCCCTTGGGCCAGGGCCTGGGGCTGAGGCTGCCATGACCAGCCTGTCCTCAGCCTTCTGGGGGGCCTCAGTCAGTGCCCAGCACTGGGTGGTCCCCACAGGATACAGTAGCCAGGACTGTGGGGCTGGAGGTCAGAGCAGAAGTCCCCTGACTGTGGGGCCCCCGGGGATGCAGACTTGGAGGATACTCCAGAGACCCTCCTGGTAGGCACGGGGCTGGTAGGCCCGCCGGAAGTGGGTGGGCAGAATTGGGACTGTCCAGGGAGCCAGGGGCTGGTGTGGCTAGAGTAGGCAGCTGGGCCCTCGAATCTAGGCCATGCGTCGGCAGAATGACAAGTGATGGTGTAACTGACCCAGCCGGGTCTGGGGAAGGAGGCCTGGGCAGCGGGACCACCCACCTCTGTCCCGGGCCCCAAGCCCAGGCTGCCCTCCTGCGCTGGCCATTGTCTGGCCCTGGCAGGGAGGCCTGGGGGTGATAGTCAGCCCCGCCAGGGGTATGTCCCAGAATCTCAGTGTGCTAGGCAGCCACTGGGCCGGGAGGAGGGCCCTGGGGGCTTACGTGTGGACATCCGCCCTTGGGAGCATCTTCTACCCCAACTTAGCATTTGCACGTGAGGTGGGCCAGGTCCCCTTAGCCTGGCTCGAGGGTTCCCACTCTGACCTGCTCACAACCTCCCACCCCTCCCAGCTTGTGTCCTTAATCTGTGAAATGGTGGGGGGGGGGTCCCAGGTCCCCTTAACCTGCTGGCCTGTGAGACCGCTGCCCGCAGCATCTTGTCTCTACTTAGGAGTGTTCTTGCTGTGTGTTTAGTGTAGTGCTGAGGTGTAGCTCACGCACACGACACTCTCTTCTAAGTTGGGGTACAGGCATTCCATGTCCCTGAGACCCGGCCTGGCCCCCGAGGTCACCGGCCCACAGCAAGTGCTGCCTAGCCGTGGCTGCTTCCTCCTTGAGCTGGGGAGTGTCTGTTCTCTGGTCCGGAAGTGCTTTTGCCACCAAGATGAGAGATGGGGGGCAGTAAGTGGGACCCCTGCCCCCCTCCCTGTTCTTCCTGCCTCGAGCCTCCATTCTAGGCTGGAAGCCAGAGGTCTGTGGAGCACCTCTGCCTGCTGCCTGGTTTTGTACGGCCTGTAAGCTCAGGATGTATTTTGCATTTCTAAGCGGTTGGAAAAAACCAGAGGAAGAATGGTACTCCGTGGCACTCTGCAACCTGAATTCTCAATGTCCACGAGTATGGTTTGGTGAGCGCGCAGCCGACCCCACTTCCTCGCGCGTCATCTGCGTCGGTGCCACAACGGTGCGGTTGTCCTCAGGGCGCACACCAGTTGGCAGGCCTGGGACACTTCGCAGGACAGCAGGCTCCAGATGCGGTGGCCCTTGCCTAGGCCTCTGGGCCCCAGATGCCCCCACCACAGCCTTCGCTGCATGTCTGGGCAGTGGTCCTGCCGTGGGGCCTCCCGGGGGTGCCGGGCGCCCAGGATTCCTGTTTCGGGGGCTCCTGCCTTAGGGTCATTATCTCCTCCACAGAGGCCCTGGGACCTGAGCCCGGCCAGCAGGAGCAGCTGGTCTTTGGCAGCGGGGACACCGTGGAGCTGAGCTGCCATGCGCCTGCCGGTGGTCCCACGGGGCCCAGCGTCTGGGTCAAGGACGGTGTGGGGCTAGTGCCCTCCGACCGCATCCTGGTGGGGCCTCAGCGGCTGCAGGTGCTCAACGCCTCCCACGAGGACGCGGGGGCCTACAGCTGCCGGCAGCGGCTCACTCAGCGCGTGCTGTGTTACTTCAGTGTGCGCGTGACCGGTGAGTGCCCCGGGGCCGCGCCCCGCCCCGTGTGGAGGGTCTTGGTGGCCGTTGGGGGGGGGCACCCCGCAGGAGGTGCTGCGTGAAGGGGCTCCAGCCCTGCCCGTGGGGGGCCCCCACGGACCCGGGAGGAGGTGGAGGTACTGGGGTGTGGGCCCCGGGCCCTTGCCTGTTGGGGGGCTGACTCCTGAGCACTGCCTCTGGCCTGCATTTCAGATGCTCCATCCTCCGGAGATGATGAGGATGAGGAGGACGAGGCTGAGGGCACAGGTGAGCCCCCGGGCCCCGGGGTGAGCCCCCGGGCTCCGGGCACGCAGGGCTGGCTGGGGCTGGGGGCCTGCCTCCCCGGGGTGGGCTTGCTTCCTCGCTGCCAGCCCTACGCTCATCAGGCAGGTAGGAGACCGAGAGCTGGGGGCCGTCCCCCCGGGATCACACTGAGCGTGGGGGCCCCTCACCGTGGCGGCCCTGAGCTCTGGGTGGCAGGCTGGGGGGGGGGCACTGTGTGGAAAAGGTGAGACGGGGAGAGGCCGAGGCGGGGGCAGTGAGGTGGCCCAGCCGGGCTGCTGTGGGTCATCGGACTGAGGGCTCAGGGGCATGGGCGGTGGGAGTGGAGGGTGGCTGTGGGCTCTGGGGACGCCAGCTTTGGGCACATGTTCGTCGTAAAGGGGAGGCTGTGGCATTTGTGGGGAGCAGGCCGCGGGTGTAGGGGCAGGTGGGGTGACGGCATGCAGGTGTGTAAGCCCGGCGCACTGGTGGGTAGACTTGGCCCATCACGGAGGGGCTGGTTAGGGGAGGTGGGGGGCCATGAGAGGTCCAGTGGGCAAAGAGGTGAGGGGGAGCCCACTGGGGAGGTGGCGCTGCATGGGGATGTGGGAGAGGAGTGGCCCTGGGAGAGGAGCCAGGCGCCGGGGCGCGTAGGTCGGCTCTACCTTGGGTGTGCGTGCTGACAGAGGCGTGGAAGGGCCCTTCCTGAGGAGCCACCTGGTTTCCTCTATTTTCCCTTTTTCCCTTGGCTGCCAGGAGTTCAAAGCCAAGCTCCAGGCCCAGTTGCTCCTGGAGCCCCGGCCACCCTGGCCATGTCAGGCAGTGCTGGCCCCCCTCCGCCACCCCCACCCCGGCACAACCCGGTGGGCTCAGGGCCTCCAAGGGTCACTGGCAGGCTGTCCTCCACAGACACCGTCCAGCAGGGCTGAGCCACCATGGTCTCAGCCTGCCGGTCCCGCTCAGGGTCTCTGCTCCCTGCCTGGGCCTCAGCGCCCTCCTCCGCCAGCTGGCTGTGTTGAGGGCAGCAGGGCAGGGGGGGGGGTGAGAGGGGCATCTCTCCCCTGTCCTAGGGGAGGCCTGTCCAGCCTCCCAGGGCAGGAATGCAGCCCCCACCCCAGTAACAAGGAAGGATGGAAACCAGTTAGGGTGGAGGATGGGGACAACCCTGAAAACCAGGAGGGGGCAGGGCCTCCCGGATGCCATGTCCCCTCCCCCTGCCCAGCAGGCCCTGGAGTGCTCTAGAGGGTGACCCTGGGTCTCAAGGGTTCTAGCAGGCACCTGACCATCTTTGAGACTCTGGGCTCTGCAGGTGGCTGCGCCTTATGTCCCGCTCTGCGGCTTCCAGGTCCTGGCCTTGCTCGTCCACCCAGCTGGGCTCTGTGACCTGGGCTGACCTGGTTCCGCTTCCGGCTGGGTCTCCACCTCAGTGGGCTGGCCCCAAATGTGCCTCCCTGGGTTGGTGGGTGCTCCCCTGGGAGATACCCTTGTGTCTTGAAGGCTCCCAGGTCAGGGGGTATTGTTCCGGACCCTCGGGCCCCCTTGGCTGCCGCGGTTGCTTGCGGGAGGCGGACAGGGAGGGGAGGGGCATGTGCTTAGCTTTGAGAATGCCAGGGGGCGATGCCGGGGCTGTCGGCGGCCTCGTCCAGCCAAGGCAGAAGTCCTCAAAAGTCCAACACTCCAGGGGCACCCAGGTGGCTTCAGTTGTTAAGCGTCTGCCTTCAGCTCAGGTCATGATCCCAGGGCCCTGGGATCGAGGCCCGCATTGGGCTCCCTGCTCCGCGGGAAGCCTGCTTCTCCCTCTGCCGCTCCCCCTGCTTGCGTTCCCTCTCTCACTGTGTCTCTGTCAAATAAATAAATAAAATCTTTACGGGCGCCTGGGTGGCTCAGTTGGTTAAGCGACTGCCTTCGGCTCAGGTCATGACCCTGGAGTCCCGGGATTGAGTCCCACATCGGGCTCCCTGCTCGGCGGGGAGCCTGCTTCTCCCTCTGACCCTTAGCCCCTCTCATGCTGTTTCTCTCTCTCTCTCTCTCTCTCTCTCAAATAAATAAATAAAATTAAAAAAAAATCTTAAAAAAAAAAAGTGCAACACTCCGTACACAGGAGGGGACACGGAGGCTGGAGGCGTGGGCAGCCTGGCGGCTTCTGAAGGGGGGTCAGGCGGGCCTCTGCCCCCACCCTGGTTATGGCTGGCATGCACCCCTCTGCCAGCAGGGGCCCCTTACTGGACGCGGCCTGAGCGCATGGACAAGAAGCTGCTGGCGGTGCCGGCCGCCAACACCGTGCGCTTCCGGTGCCCGGCCGCCGGCAACCCCACGCCGTCCATCTCCTGGCTGAAGAACGGCAAGGAGTTCCGAGGCGAGCACCGCATCGGGGGCATCAAGGTGGGCCTAGTGGCGGGCGGTGCTGGCCGGCGGGGTCCTGGGCCACTGTCCCCTCACGCACACCTGCCCACAGCTGAGGCACCAGCAGTGGAGCCTGGTCATGGAGAGCGTGGTGCCCTCGGACCGCGGGAACTACACGTGTGTCGTGCAGAACAAGTTCGGCAGCATCCGGCAGACCTACACCCTGGATGTGCTGGGTGAGGCCCTGGGCTGGCGGGTGTGGCCTGGCGGGTGTGGCCTGGCGGCGTGGGCCCCGGGCGGCCCCTAACCCCGTCTGCCCCGCAGAGCGCTCTCCGCACCGGCCCATCCTTCAGGCAGGGCTGCCTGCCAACCAGACGGCCGTGCTGGGCAGCGACGTGGAGTTCCACTGCAAGGTGTACAGTGACGCGCAGCCCCACATCCAGTGGCTCAAGCACGTGGAGGTGAACGGCAGCAAAGTGGGGCCTGACGGCACCCCCTACGTCACCGTCCTCAAGGTGGGTGCCACCCCTGGCCGGGCGCCGGCGGTGGGCCGCTGCACGGGAGCCGCTGGGCCTGGCCCTGCTGGCCCCCCGTGGCCGGGAACCGGGAAGGCATCCCAGCAGGGAGGCTCGCTGGGTCAAAGGGTTGGCAGGGGGCGGGGGGGTCGGCATCAGACCGGCCGGGGAGAAGTGGTGGGGGGCTCGGCTCCGCACTGGCGGGCTGGGGGGTCGGCTCGGGAGTCTGGGCCCAGTCCCGGCATGTGAGGCAGGCAGCACGTGGTCCTGCGGTGAGTCCTCGGTTTTCCCGTCTGCCCTAAGGGTCAGCCTCAGCCCTGGAGGTAGGCCTGCAGACGGCGCCCTGGGCCGGGGTCAAGCTCAAGGCCCCAGGGCAGGCAGGTGGCCGCTGAGCCCTGGCACGGCAGGCTCTGGGCCCGAGGTGCGGGCAGCCACGCCTTCCGCTGCCCTGATTCGACACCATCCGCGTGCGCAGAGCATGGCTCGCGGTCTGCCTGCCTCCCTCCGCCCTCGCTTTGTTCCCACGGCCCTCGGGGCGGGGGCCACCCGAGTTGGGATGGTTGCGACACTCTCTCAGCCCAGAGAGAAACATCTGTTGCTCATGGGGGTGGGGAAGCGGGCGCTTGGGCTGAGAGTGGCAGTGCAGGCCCGACTGGAGAGGCCGCCGTGGCCCCGCTGGGTGAGAGCTCCACACTCACGGGAACACGCTTGCGGAGAGCCGGGCCCCGCTGGGACCCCAGGGCTAGGCAGCCGGAGGGCCTCTCGGGGGTGTGCCTGCAGGGCCACGCTCTGGGCTGACGTGGGTGGGCGTGCAGAAGGTGCATCCTGTGAAATCACGGCCCGCCACGGGGAGGTGCTCCCGTGGCCTCCAGGCCGGCCCCTCCGTTCCCCGAGGCCCGCCCCCGTGGCGGGGTCCGCTCCGGGCCCCGCGCCCACATGGCCGCTGAGGGCGCGCCTGAGCCGGGTCTCTTGTCCCCGCAGTCCTGGATCAGTGAGAGTGTGGAGGCCGACGCACGCCTCCGCCTGGCCAATGTGTCCGAGCGTGACGGGGGCGAGTACCTCTGTCGAGCCTCCAATTTCATAGGCGTGGCTGAGAAGGCCTTTTGGCTGCGTGTTCACGGGCCCCAAGCAGGTAACGACTCTGTCCCACGCTGCCTGGCACGCCGAGCTCCAGCTCCGACGCCCTGGCCACGCGCCCACCTGCACGCCCCCATCCTGCTCGCTCCCCGCCCCGTGGCTCGCGCTGTGCTCCCGGCGGAGCCACGTCCGCGATGCTGGCGCCTCTGGCCTCCACTGTGACTGCCCGCTTCGAGCCCCCGCGACCTGTGCTGACCCCGCCTGCGCTCCCGCCACACCCCCAGGAGGCCTCCGGCCTGGCAGAGGCTGTACCGCCCGGCGTGAGCTTCTGCTTCCACCCCGCCCCCACCCCACCCCGTGCGCGTCTCTCGCTCTGCCTCGCTCGCTCTCACCTGCTCCTGCCCCGGCCCCCACGGCCGGCTCCCTTGCTGTCGGTCTGTCCCTCGGTTCACCCGCCCCCCCCGCCCCCCCCCCCCCCGCCCGCCCCCCTCCCCGGCGGCCCCCCCCCCGGTCCCCCCCCCCCCCCCCCCCCCCCCCCCCCCCCCGTGCACACACTAACCTTGCACGCCGCGTTCGTGCAGCACGCCGCTGGCTGCATGCCTGGCGCTCACCTGGGACAGAGGACTCGCCGGTGGAGGGACTGGCTTCGGGCTCTGTGTGGACGCACGAGGCGGAGGACCCTTGGCGCCATGGCCGTGGCCGTGGTGGCGGCAGCGTTTTCCTTGCAGCCTGGCTGGATCGTCACTGCGTGGACTCTGGCTGTGGTGCCCATGGCAGGTGCTGGTGCTCGCCTATCGCGCTCTGTTCTCTCTTTGTAGACGGCGGGCGCTAACACCACCGACAAGGAGCTAGAGGTTCTGTCCTTACGCAATGTCACCTTTGAGGACGCGGGGGAGTACACGTGTCTGGCGGGCAATTCTATCGGGTTTTCCCATCACTCTGCGTGGCTGGTGGTGCTGCCAGGTACTGGCTCCTGCGGCCTGCTCTGTTCCCGTGCTGCCGGGGTCGCTGGCTTGGGACACTCCACAGCTGCCAGGGACAGGCAGGGGACCCTGCGGCCTGGGGCCACCTTGCTCCCCGGCGCTCCTGCGCCAGGCCGATGGCTGGTAGGGGAAGACAGTCGACACGCCGTGTCTTGGCTCAGAGGGGCCCCCCTGGAGCCCCCCGCTCCCAGCCAGGTCCCCGACAGCCTAGGTGGTAGCTCTGGAGTCGCCCCGGGTGGCGGGTGTCAGTGCTGCTGGCTCTGCTGGGCTCTTCTCTCCTGGGTGTCCCCCTGCTGACCCAGCGTTTCTGACCGCAGGCCCCTCAGTGTGCCCCCACCGGGGCTCTGAGCCCCTTTCCCCATGCCCACCGTGCCTCTGGCCCCGGCCCTGGCCGGCCCGTGGGGGCTCCCGTGCGGCTGGGCCAGGCCTGCAACGCCCGTGTCTTTGCAGCTGAGGAGGAGCTGGTGGAGGCCGGCGAGGCCGGCAGCGTGTACGCGGGCGTCCTCAGCTACGGGGTGGGCTTCCTCCTCTTCATCCTCGTGGTGGGGGCCGTGGCACTGTGCCGCCTGCGCACGCCCCCGAAGAAGGGCCTGGGCTCGCCCACTGTGCACAAGGTCTCCCGCTTCCCGCTCAAGCGACAGGTAACAGAAAGTAGATACCAGGTTCCGAGCCGCCTGGCCTCCCGGAGCCCCCACGGCCCCGCCTCCCGGGCTTCTGAGCTCAGGGACGCCCTGCAGCATCTGAGGCCCGGGGCCTGCCCAGGGATGCGGGTCTGTGTGGCCACTGAGCCAACCCCGCTCTTGTCCTTGCGGTGCCCCGGGTCCCTTGATCTCCACGTAGCGCTAGGTGGAGGTCAGCCAGACCTCCCAGGCCCTGGCCAGCCCGCCCACACAGGCAGAGCCGCATCCTCGCTGACCCCAGCTACCCCCTCCCCCCCACCATTGTTTGGCCCCCACGACACCAACCTGTCCCTGCTGACCCAAGCAGGTGTCCTTGGAATCCAACTCGTCCATGAACTCCAACACGCCGCTGGTGCGCATCGCCCGGCTGTCTTCTGGGGAGGGCCCTGCGCTGGCCAACGTCTCCGAGCTGGAGTTGCCCGCCGACCCCAAGTGGGAGCTGTCCAGGGCCCGGTCAGTGGTGGCGATGTGACCCTGTGTGCTGGGGCCGGGCCCTGACCCAGTGGGGATCGGGGGCACATGTGGGGTGTGGGGGGGGAGGCACCACTCAGAAACCTGATTGGACTCCGATCAGAGGCGGGTAGGAATCGGCTCCATGCGCGGTGTGGCTACTGCTGGACATGGGGCTGGGGCCAGAGGAGGCTGAGCCAGGGATAGATGCTCCCGGGGGTGGGGGCACCCCTTGCAAAGTGCTCTGTCTGGAGGGCCTTTGCACAGAGTGAGAGGCTGCAGGGTCAACGGCCTTCATTCTCACGAGCAGGGTTGTGGGAGCAAGTATGGAGGGCTTCCTGGATGCGTTGGCACTGGGCCTCCGAGACTGCCTGGGATGGAGCCCGAGGCAGGTGGGAGTGCTCACTGCCTGTTCGTGTCTACCGCCAGGCTGACCCTGGGCAAGCCTCTCGGGGAGGGCTGCTTCGGCCAGGTGGTCATGGCAGAGGCCGTCGGCATCGACAAGGACCGGGCCGCGAAGCCTGTTACTGTGGCCGTGAAGATGCTCAAAGGTGAGGGCGGGGGGCGGGCCGTGGCAACGGGGGCCCGGGCGGGGCTGGGGCACAGTGCCTGACACAGCCTCCCTCCCGCGCAGACGATGCCACAGACAAGGATCTCTCGGACCTGGTGTCTGAGATGGAGATGATGAAGATGATCGGCAGGCACAAGAACATCATCAACCTGCTGGGGGCGTGCACTCAGGGCGGTAGGTGCTGCGGGTGGGTGAGCAGGTGGGGCTCACGGGGCCCCGAGGGTGCGGCCCTCCTCTGAGGCCCCTGTGCTCCTAGGGCCCCTGTACGTGCTGGTGGAGTACGCGGCCAAGGGCAACCTGAGGGAGTATCTGCGGGCCCGGCGGCCCCCAGGCATGGACTACTCTTTTGACACTTGCAAGCTGCCCGAGGAGCAGCTCACCTGCAAGGACCTGGTGTCCTGCGCCTACCAGGTGGCGCGGGGCATGGAGTACCTGGCCTCACAGAAGGTGAGCGGGGGTGGGAGGAGGGGCGGCAGGTCCCTCAGCCAGCCGGGGCCACGTGGGAGCCTCACTGCCCCCTTCTCCCCCCGCCCAGTGCATCCACAGGGACCTGGCTGCCCGCAACGTGCTGGTGACCGAGGACAACGTGATGAAGATCGCGGACTTCGGCCTGGCCCGTGACGTGCACAACCTTGACTACTACAAAAAGACCACCAATGTGAGCCCAGCTGGAGGGGGGTGGTTGATGGTGGGGGCAAGGAGAGGGAAGCCCCCCCCCCCCCCGCCAACAAGAGGGCACCTGGCCCCAACGTGCCCCCTTCCCCCTCCCAGGGCCGGCTGCCCGTGAAGTGGATGGCGCCCGAGGCCTTGTTTGACCGAGTCTACACCCACCAGAGTGACGTGTATGTGGTCTCCCAGATCCTGGGGAGGGCCAGGGGGTCGGGAGCTGCAGGGGGTGCAGGACAGAGCTGGGATCCTCCCAGGCCCTGGCCCGTCTCCCCTGCATTCTGGCGGGGGGTGCAGGGCAGGCTGACTGTCCTGTGCTCCCCACCAGCTGGTCCTTTGGGGTCCTGCTCTGGGAGATCTTCACCCTGGGGGGCTCACCGTACCCCGGCATCCCCGTGGAGGAGCTCTTCAAGCTGCTGAAGGAAGGTCACCGCATGGACAAGCCGGCCAACTGCACACACGACCTGTGAGTGTCTGCGCCCTGCGACCACCCTTCCTGACACTGGTCCACGGGGCGGCTCACCCCCCCACCCCCCCGTGGCCTGGGAGCTCCCTCAGCAGGGTTCCTGAGGGGGACGGGTGGGAACCCATTGCAGGCTGGGCTCCGGTGGGCGCCGGGCCGGAAGCCTTACCCGAGCATGTGGCCCACAGGTACATGATCATGCGGGAATGTTGGCATGCAGTGCCCTCCCAGAGGCCCACCTTCAAGCAGCTGGTGGAGGACCTGGACCGCATCCTCACTGTGACGTCCACGGATGTGAGTGCTGGCCCCCCCCACCCCCGTGCTGTGTGTGGGGGACGCAGCACTGACCGCCGCCCACCCACAGGAGTACCTGGACCTGTCCGTGCCTTTCGAGCAGTACTCACCAGGCGGCCAGGACACCCCCAGCTCCAGCTCCTCGGGGGACGACTCTGTGTTTGCCCATGACCTGCTGCCTCCAGCCCCACCTGGCAGTGGGGGCCCGCGGACGTGAAGGGCCACCGGCCTGCAGGCCGAGCCCCCACCAATGTGAGAGCGGATGCCAGCTCCCTCCCGCCCCCGCCGTGCTGCTGGTGGAGTGCTGTTGACCACTGGGGCCCCCTGGCCCGGGTCTGAGTCCTGGGACAGACGGACAGACGGACAAGACAGCTCTGTGCGTGTGTGTGTGTGTGTGTGCGCGTGTGCACACGCGCCTGTGTGTGGGTGTGAGTGAGTCTTGGGGCCCCGGCACGGGGATCCCCGGGGTGCCCGCCCTGCTGTACAATGACCTCCTGGCCAGCGGCGCAGCAGCACCAGGGGGACGAATGTAGAATGTAAAGGGGTTCCTTCTGGGGCCCCTGCCCCAGGCTCCCCTCCCCCCACCGGCTGCCTCCCAGGGAGCCCCGGGGGTATGGCCTGGCTCTGGCATGCAGTGTAGGGTCTTGGGCTGAGCCTGCGGGGTCGCCCCTCTGTGGCAGGCCCCCCACCCACGCGACACCTTGTGCCTGGGGGTGAGTGTGAGCACGCAGCCCCCCACCTCCAGCCTTCCCCACGTCCCACCCTGCTCCTTGGAGACGGAATTACGGGTACCTGAAGGCAGGAGCCTTTAACTTCTCTCCGAGAGGTTCATTCCAGAAATGAGTGTACATTTATATAAATAGGAGCTGTGTGTAGGATACACACATATATATATATAAATACCTATACGGAAGAAGGGCTGGTGTCACAGGCACGGGACCCCGGGGGCCCAGGGAGCCCCCCGAGGGATTTGCTGTGGAGACGAGCACAAACACCAGCAGATGATGGAGGGGCTTTTCTGGCAGTTTTGTTTTAAAAATTGTACCTGGACCTGTATATTTGTAAAGCTATTTATCAACCCCCAGAACCCCTGTCCCTGTCTCGCCACCGGCCCCCCCACGTTCATAGTGTTGAGACAGCCGCGTGGCAGAGAGGTTTCAGTTTTAACTTATTAACAGCTGAGAAGGGTCCTGCTTCGTTTAGAGGCCCTGCGGGGGACGTGCATCGTGCTGGGCAGCACCCCAAAGCCCAGCCCGTTCCCTGGCGCCCTTAAGGGCCATTCATAGTTTGAGGTGATTCTAGTGAGGATGTTTTATTTCCTTTGGCCTTCTTTTGCAGGGGAATTAGATTTCTATAGGGTTTTTCTTTAGGAAATTTATTTTTGGGGACTTCAAGGCAAGCTGGTATTTTCCTCCAAGTTCTAATTGCCATGTGTTCTGGGTGGGGAGGCAGCTTCCAGTGGGGGCCAACCCTGCACGCAGGCTCAGATGTTATTAGATGTTACAAGTTTATATATATCTATATATATAATTTATTGAGTTTTTACAAGATGTATTTGCTGTAGATTTAACACTTATTACGCAATGCTTCTAGACTTTTATAGCCTGGACTGCCACCTTTCAAAGCTTGGGAGAGAAAGCCGTGAATTCAGTTTTGTTCCTTTTTGTACTGTTAATGGCCCGCGTTTGGGGGGCTGTTTTTTGCTCATCAGCTGGCCAGCCGGGCAGTTGTTCAGGGTGGTCTTTGTTCTCAGCGGCCCCCCCACCCGCCTTACGGGGGCCAAAGGTGGCGGCCCAAACTGGCAGACATGCTTTCCAAAAAATAAAGAGAGACGACTGGTTCCCATCCCTGCTCTGTGCCTTCTTGTTTCCTGCCCTTCTGGAACCCTAGTTCAGCCTGGGACAGGCCCTGTCGGCTGCCCTCCCCGCCCTGAGGAGGGAAGGGTCTCCAGCTGCTACGGGCACAGACTGGGACTGGCGGCCTGGGGTCACAAGCCCAGGTCCCGGCTTGGATAGGACAATCCTGGGCAAAGCCAGGGTGAGGGTGGTCCGCTGTGTCCAGCTGCATGGGCGTCCCAACGCTGGCAGGGTACAACCTCAGGGCCATGGGTGGTCTTCATGCATTCATTCATTCATTCTCCACCTCAGTCTGAGGTCCCCAAGGGCAGAGAACACCAGGAAGGGGGTGTCCAGGGGATGGGCAATGAGAGCATCCTGGGCTGTGCAAGGAGGAAGGCCCTGCCAAGCCGCCTGGCTGCCCCTGGCTCGTGGGCTCTAGGTGGGCTCAGGGGGTCCTGTGCGGGCACCTGCAGCGGCTTCTGAGGCCTCCCCCTCCACACCCTACCTGCTGGCATCTGCGGTTAGCTGGGGGGGAGGAGGTGGTTTATAGCTCCCTGCCCACCCCCGCCACAGAGCTGCATGCTAGCAAAGCTCTCACCTGGCCCCTGATTCAGCCAGACCCCGGGGGGAGAGTGCTGTCTGCTCCCGGAGCCACACTCCGGCTCCTGGACGCTTCCCTTCCCCATCCCATCCCCTCCTTGGGCTTCACCCGCAGCTCCTGCTCTCCACCACTCCTGGGACTTTGGGCAGTTGCTGCATGCTGACCCTCAGCTAGTTGGGGCACTGAGGACCCAGTGACAGGACCTGGCCCCCTCTGCTCTGGAGTTCTCGGTCTGAGGGAGTGGGGGACACGGATCGGGGCACCCACCCACGCTGCACCGGTGGGGGTAAGTCTGGGAAGGCTTCCTGAAGGAGGCGGTAGTGCCCAGGCTAAGTGGTGAGGCTAGAGAGGATTCAGGGACAGGCGGCCGAGCACAGCCTTGGCCCAGGTCCTCTCTGGACCCCAGTGCTGTGCAGGGCCGACTGTCCGTCTTTCCTCTCTGTCGCTGTGGACACCTAGTCTGGTCTGACCGGAGGGGACCAGCCACTGTGCTGGGTCCTCTTTTAACTCTGGCTTCTCAGAAACTCGCTCCCCCTACAGCTGTGTTCAACTCACTTTCCAAGTCTGGGGCCGCCCTGGAAGGGAGGATCTGAAGCCGGTGCCGTGCAATACCGCGACCCCACTGGGGGAAGCAGTCCTGGCACCCGGTCCGGCCTCTGCCAGAGACCCGGTGCTCTTTGTGTCCCCAGCGCTCTGGAGGGATGGAGGCCAATGAGGGCGTGAACCCCAAGTGCGGGAGTGCGGCCTGGGGCCAGCAGCACCCCAGGCCTGCGGGGAGGAGGAGGGGGCAGCCCAGAGGGGACCCGCGGAGGGGGGGACCTGGCGGGGAGCCCTGGGGGGGGGGGGAGGAGGTGGCCGGCGCGGGGGGGACCCGGGGGGGGAGCCGGGAGGGGGGGAGAAAGGGGGGAGGGGGCCAGGAAACGGGGAGGCGGGCGGAGCGCGGGCCGGGAGCGCCCTCTAGTGCCCGCCCGCCAGCATCCCCGCCAGGGGCGCGCTCGGGAACGGCGGTCAGGCCCCCAGGGGAGGGGCCGGTCTTCCGGACGCCGGACCGGGACCCCGGGCGGGACGGGGGCGGCCAGGGGAACGGACCAGGCCGGCAGGCTGGGGCACTGGACAGGCAGGCGAGGGCAGCCGGACCGTCCGCACGGCCGGGGAGCCTCCCCGCCCCTCACCTGCGGGCCCCACCTACTCCAGGGCCCCGCCCCTGTCAGGCTGCACCTGTCCGGCGGCCCCTGCGGCCCCGCCCTTCACCCGCCGAGCTCGCCTCCTCCTGCAAAAGCCTGGCGGGCGGTCTCCGCGCAGTCTGCGAAGTGTTCTCTGAGCCCCGGGCTGGGTGGGGTCCGCCCCAGCCCCGGGGCCCGCCTCAGCGGCGGCTCAGGGACAGGCGTCCGCACGCCACCTGCCCTCGGAAGGTCGCGAGCTCCCCCGTTCTTGGACCTCCAGGCCCGGCCCTTCACCTTTCCCCATCGCTGCCTGGCTTGGCTCACCTGGGCTGAGCGCCTCCACACCCTTCCTGGACCCCGCAATCTTATTCCTGACCTGGGGGCTGCCGCACGCCTGTGCTGCTAGGCCGGACACCAACCGTGCACCCCCCGTCCTCTCCCCGGGCGGGTGGGCACACAAACTTGGCCGCAGCTGCCAAGGTCTTCAGGGTCGCAGCCCCCACACTGAACACCCTTGCAGGCCGGCCGAGTGGACCCGACCACAGTGGCGCAGTTTTAAATCAGGTCCTCATCTGGCTGCCTCTCCTTAGCCCAGAATAGCCCCTGGCCCTCTCCCGTCTTCCCGGAGTTTTGGGGGGGGCACAGCTATGTCCTGCTGGAAGGTCCTGCTTTCTGGATATGCCGGTGCTCCTGTGAGGTCGTCAGACTTTGCTCAGTGCGCATCTGGGGCAGGAACGCTGTGGGGGGGGGGGGGGAGCAGAGCAAGGGGCACACGGCCAGCAGCCCTCACCCCCAGTTGCCCCAGGGAATGGTGCCCAGGGTCTGGGAAGCAGCACAGGTAGCTTCCAGGCCCACCAGCTGAAATCCTCCCTCAAGACCTTGCGGGGATGGAAGGTCCTCCTGAGAAGACTGGGGAGCGCCTCTCTCTCCTGGTGGGAGTCTGCACCAGCTGGGCAGCCAAGACTGAGGACCGCCACGGGGCGGGGTCTTCGTTTACAACCAATTCTCGGGGCGGGGTCTTCGTTTACAACCAATTCTCGGTGTTTCATACTCATTCTGTCCTCGTTCTGCTCAGGAGCACCCCTTCCCTGGGACTGTAGAGCCACCTGCCCCCACCCCCCGGCGCCCTCCCGGATCAGCGTCCCCAGAGCCCTGGGGTCTCTTTGTGGCCTTCTGAACCTATCACCCGCAGGTTTACACGGACCCCGTCTCCACTGTCCCCGGCCACTGACTCCCACGATGGCGTGTGGGTGCCTGCCAGGGCTCCGCAAAGAACCTGGACAGGAGCCGTCGGCTCAGGGCCCAGGCCAGGGGGAAGGCAAGGGCTGAGACCCAGCAGCCTCCCCCCACACCTGCACCCCCCAAAATAACCTCTCCCACGTGGTTCTGGAGCCGCGTCTGAGCTCTCAAGACCTACGGGGCAAGGGGAACGTGGCCAAGGCTGGCCTCCCTGAGGTGGGATGCTAGTGAGGGTGGCCCTCAGGCAGGGTGTCCGGACTCAGCAAAGGTGGAGGGATCCCACACAGCGCCCCACGCAGACGGGTGCCAGTGAAGGGGTGAGGCCACCTGAGACAGGGTGGAGGTCACCTGGCTCAGGGTGGGAGGGTGGGGTGGTCTGTCTGCTGGAGGGAACTGGGGGGCACGGGGGCGGGCATCATTGTGCCTGCCCTGCTGCCTGGGGGCCCTCCCTGCAGGGGCTCAGCTCTCTACTTGGGTAGAGTGCAGGCAGCCCTGAGCTGGCTCTCCGGGCCCTGTCCAGGCTTTGGGGAGCAGTCTGCAGGGCAGGGAGGGCCCCTGCATCATCCGGGACCCCCTCAGTGGAGTGCACAGCCCTTGGGCAGCACCGTCCCCACTCCCAGGAGTCTTCAGTCTTTCCCAAGAGAACGGGGCCCTCCTAGGTGGTCCTTCAGCTGGGATCCCAGTCCTGCCAGGTCGGGCAGCGGCCTCCTTCACCAGTCTGGACAAAGCAACCACCGCACGGTGGACAGGTCACCACAACAGTGCTTTATTAACCCTTCTCCGTACATCACCCTGAAGGTCTAGCCACCGCACGGGGGTCAGGCTGGGGGGCACAGTCTGACGGGACGTGAAGCCAGTGCGCACCTGAGGCCACAGGGGCTTGAACTCCGCGAGGTGGGACGTCCGTCGGGAACCTGGCCTCACGGTGGCACAGCCACACCAAGGGCCATGTGCCACCCCCTTCCGCAGTGAAGGTGGAAGAGGGCCCTGAAGCCCAAAGCAGACACTCCCAACAATTCTGTCAGCTTCCACCTTGACTTCTGATGTGCCACATGGTTCAAAAATCTTACTTTGAGTGTTACGGGAACATTAATTTGGCATTTTAATAAAAACACTATTTCTAAAAAAAGACATTTGTACACAGCTGGTGGGGGGTTTCTCAGGTGGAGCTGGCCCAGGGCACCACTGTGAGAACCACTGCCTGGATGTTATTCTGCAAAATTACAAAGTGCCCTTCACTTTTAAAAAGTCTGGGTTTTGATATTCCAAAAGGGCTCCAGAAGCCACACACCGTTTTCCCAAATCCCAACTAAAAGAGTGGGTGTTTAAAAGGTGGAGCGAAGGATGAAGCACATGCTAAGAACTCCTGTCTCCTTTCCAAGCAGGTGTCGACATCACAGGCTGCTTCTCCTCAAGAAGAGCAGAAAGGCCACGGGAGCAGCCGCGTGACAGCAGCGGTCAAGGCCCAGGCGCCTCTGCAAACCTCACGGCACAGAACTGATTTCTAGGTCTGCTGCCGGCGGTGCACCTGGACACGACGCTCAGCTGCAGCGAACAGTTCAGGACAGGAACATCCCACGCGCCCCCGAGGGGGGAGGCCTGCAGCAGGGCCACTGGCAACGTGGCCAGCCCCGAGGGTCCTCGACAAGCCCGGCAGCATCTGGGGGCGAGCGACTCTCCTGGAGGGCGCGGACAGGCGGGCGGTGCGGCGGGAGCGCCCAGCCGTGCCAGTGACCGCGTTGTGGGGATGCCCAGGGCACCCGGCCGGGGCAGCGAGGGGGAAGAAAGGATTTGGGCACAGCTGATGGGGCGCCAAAGCACCACTCACTACAAAGACAACTGCCATCCGCGGGGCCCACAGGCGGCCCAAAGCTCACAGACACGCGCGCTTCCTACGGCTCAACCCCCGCCACTAACGGAAGTGTAAGGTAATTCATAAATATTTTAATTAAGCATCTAAAATATATTTCTCAAATAATCGAAATAAAAACCCTTTAG